CTCCTGGCTACCCCAAAACAGAAAGGACAAAAAACAAGTGGTTAAACTGATGAGTCTCCACCAGTTTCTCAGAAAAAAGGCCATCCCATCAACAGCCTAAAGTCCAGGAACTCCCTACTGTCTAATGTTAATGCCTTGCTAGAGGGAAAAACAACCTTAGCTTGACAATAGCTAGGCCTCCAGTAAAATTTTAGCATGTGAAAGTCTCTTTGGAAACTTCTTCTTGACTTTATCTTCCCCCCCCTCCATAAAACAGTCTCCCTTCCCCCCTCCCCCACATTTACGGTGCAGTTTTTCCTACGCATGGCTCCTGTCCTCATATTTTAATAAAATCACCTTTTTGCACCAAAGACGTCTTCAAGAATTCTCTCCTGGCCATTGGCTCTGGACCCCACGAATCCCCCCCCTAATCACCCCAATACTTCATCACTAGGAGTAAAGTTGCTGGATAGTATGGTAAATTTATATATAACTTTAAAAAACTACTGTTTTCCAAAATGGTTGTAATTTATGCTCAGATCAGCAATGTATGATGGGTCAGGTTTATCCCTATCTTTATAGACTGTCATTGTCTGAGTTTTCATTATAGCCATCTGAGTGTGCGGTTGTAATTTATCTCATTGTAGTTTTAATTTACATTTGCTTAATGACTAATGACACTGAGCACATTTTCCTGTGTGTATTAACTGTATATCTTTATAGACATGTCTGTGCAAGTCTTAATATTTTTTAACTGGGTTGTCTTATTAAGTTGTAAGGGTTCTTTATGTACTATGGATACATCTCCTTCATATGATTTCAAACATTTCCTTTCAATCTGTGGTTTGTCTTTTCATTCTTTTCATGCTGTCTTTTGTAGTTCAAGGATTTTCAATTTTACTGATTACATTTATCATTTTAAATTTAATAATGAAATCTGTCCATTTTTTTAAATGACTTGTCTTTTGGTGTCTATGACTTCTTTGTCTAACCCACACCATGCAGGTTTTCTCCTCTGATTTCTTCTATCAAATTTATGGTTTTTTTTTTAAAGTTTATTTATTTACTTTGAGAGAGAGAAAAAGCACATGAGCACAGGGGCTCAGAGAAAGAGGGAAGGAAGAGAATCCCAAGTAGGCTCCACACCACTCTACACCCTATGTGGGGCTTGAACTCATGAACCATGAGATCATACCTGAGCTGAAATCAAGAGTCAGATGCTCTACTGACTAAGCCACCCAGGTGCCCCTATCAAATTTATAGTTTTACTTTTTATATTTAGGCCTATGATCCATTTGAGGTTAATATTTTTGTGTATGATGTGAGGTAAGGATCTAAGGGTTTGTTTGTTTGTTTGTTTGAAAAGACTATCATTTACTCATTGAATTATCTTGGCACATTTGCTAGAAATCAACAGACCATAAATGTAAAGACTTATTTCTGGACTCACAACTTATTCCATTAAGCAGTATGCTTAGCTCTGTGTCAACACCACACCATCTTGATTACTGTAGTATTATAGTAAGTTTTGAAATCTTGAAGTGTAAGTTCTCCAACTTTGTTCTCTCTCTTTTTAATGTTTACTCATTTTTAAGGGAGACAGACAGAGCATGAGCAGGGGAGGAGCCGAGAGAGAAGTAGACTCTAGGCTCCGCTCTGTCAGCACAGAGCCCGATGTGGGGCTCAAACTCATGAACTGTGAGATCATGCCCTGAGCCGATGTTGGACACTTAATGGACTGAGCCACCCAGGCATCCCTGTTCTCTCTTTTTTTAATTCATATTCTAAGACTTCTGCATGTCTGTAAATTTTTAGATCACCATGTCAACCTCTACAAAACAAAGTTTAATAGGAATTGTCAAAAGCTGTGAAAGTTCTGAGATTTTACCCTATTGCAAGGTAACAAGTTACAGAAAGTTTGCAGACCCTACTTTAACCCAACATTCCAGGCCATTATGTCCCCATTTCATTTTACTTTTCTCACATTACTTCCTATTCATTCTTTTGAATGGGTAATTATTGCCCCTAAAGGTACATAGCTTGGCTATTTATATGTCTTCATTGATCTCTCCATAAGAATGTCCTTTCCTGGGGCACCTGGCCAGCTCAGTTGGTAAAGCATGTGACCTAATCTCTGGGTTGAGTCTGGGTTGGGGCTCCATGTTGGGCGCAGAGTTAAAAAAAAAAACAACAACAACTGTTTTTTCCCTATTATCTGTACATGCATGGATCCTCTCTATTCTTCAAGGTCCCAAATCAAACATCCACCCTCCCCCTTTCCTGCACCTTCTTCATCTTTTCAATTAGAAGTAATCTTTCCTATCTGACTCCTCACAGCACATTATCTCTATCTCCTTACCACTGGCTTGCTTTCTTTTTATTTGTTACTTACACATCTAAGTCAGTAGAAATAGTGGAGGATTTTTTTTACCTCAATACCTGGGATTCATGATCTTGCTGCATTGGAGAATGAAGAGGTAGACACAAAGTAAAATGAGCACCAGGCAAAAGTTTATTAGAGTATAAGATCAGAAGGTAAGCATTGTATGAATTCTCTCTTTATGGAGAGGGGTCATTCAAAAGTGAATGTTCCAGAATGTAGCAAGGAACTCTGTTTTATAAGGTTTTTATCAGCCCCTTTCCTTCCCCCTTTTCCCTTCTCAGGTTTTACCCTTATTGACTAGATTACTCTAAATGCCTAGTCATTCGTTTTTGATTGGCTTGTTTCTATTGTATGAAAGGTGGTGTATGGCCATACTGTTCCTTGTGGGTCATATGTTTTATGGTCTACTACTTATTTTTAGTTAGGTCTTTTGTCAAATTCCTGAGGGAAACGTGAGGCGGCTAGGTGGTGTTTGTTACATTCTTAAGAGGGACCTTATGCCTGAGGGAGTTTGCTAGTGGTCAGAAGCTCCCAGCATTGTTTTAAAATATGTGTTTACCTTACCCCACCAGGGACCTTCAAGCCTTAGCCTATCCCTTTCAGCTTACTGAATCTTATCTTTTCCTATCCGGACCTATATATTAATAATGCCTGTACTTCTGTTAGTATTCTTATATAGGTTCTTAATCTATAAATATGTTTGCTGAATAGAGTTCTTTTGGAGTTAGTGTGATTTTCCTGTTCTTGCCATTAGGTGACAGTGGTCAAACATTATAGCACCAAGAAATCTCAGGCTTTAAAGTTAAATAGGATTCCGTTTCTTTGGCTTACTAATATGTTGAGCAAGTATTTAACTAGAAGTCTTTTTTTTTTAAAGTTTATTTATTTTGAGAGTGAGCAGATGGAGGAAGAGCAGAGTGACCCAGAGAGAGAGAATCTCAAGCAGGCTCCATGCTGATGAGGGTCTCAATCTCACAAACCATGGGATTATGAGGTGAGCTGAAATCAAGAGTTAGATGCTTGACTGACTGAGCCACCCAGGTGCTAACTAGAAGTCTATCTTATCCTCTGCTGTGAAACCATCTTACCATATTACAAGGTGCAATAATACAACCAAAGTAATTTATTTGTTCATTGCTTCTGTATAAAACTTCGCCTTATTTGTATTTATCTTTTTGGTGCGTATTGTGATTGATATTGTAGAAGAAAGATTTTCGTTAGGGGTCTGAATCTTATCTCATTCAGTCAGCTAGCACTTAGGTAATGATGTAGGCAATTTGTGATGATCTGAATCAATGTTATTACCTACTAGACATATAGATGCTACCAGTGCTCCTCAAATTACTATTTGATAGGTTAACTGTTTTTAAATAAATGATGGTGATAGTTTTGTTAGATTTTCAGACTTCCTTGCTTCTCCTTCCCTCCTTCCTTCCTTCCTTGGAATAACAGAATAAAACGGACTATAGGCCTCTCAAAGCAAGGTAAAATGTTTTGGCCAGATTCCAGTATGGAACAAAGTTTCCATATTTCATCTAAAATCTTTGCTGACATAATTCCTCCAATGTTTCCTGGAGAATTTCTGGAACTTGGACTACAACTTGTGAATTATGCCAAGGAGAGCACCTGATTGGCCCAGAGCAGGGTTAGAACTACTTTTTGTTGGTTTTCCTTTTAAGTATTGGTCTTATTTGTAGGGAGGATAGAGTGAGCCAAATGACACTACTGTCTACATATATTATAAATATGCAAAAAATGAGGTGTAAAGGATTGGTGGAAGCTCTATAGACTATCAGAGACTTTCTGTAGGAAATTATAGCTTCTATTTTGATACAGGGAAATGATTCCTGTTTGACAGACCTCTCTAAACCTAACTTGGACTATAGAATTACCTCCCTTGATCTTAGCTTAGAGCAGAACATTTTGATAATAAATCAAGATTGGTGAGGTTTTTTGTTGTTTTGCTGCAGGAGGATTTCTGAAGTTTCTCCATGAGATTCCCTGTATTGCAACATTAAAAAATTTTTTTTAATGTTTTATTTCCGAGAGAGAGAGAGAGAGAGGTAGCGTGAGCAGCGGAGGGTCAGAGAGAGAGGGAGACAAAGAATTCGAAGCAATCTCCAGGCTCTGAGCTAGCGGTCAGCACAGAGCCGGACGCGGGGCTCGAACCCACGAACCATGAGATCACGACCTGAGCCGAAGTCGGACGCTTAATCGACTGAGCCGCCCAGGCGACCCGCAACATTTGTTAAATCGCTCTTCTTATAAATCCTCCAAAGAGGGGCGCCTGGGTGGCTTAGTCGGTTAAGCGTCCGACTTTCGCTTAGGTCATGATCTCGCGGTTCGTGGGTTCGAGCCCCGCGTCGGGCTCTGTGCTGACTGCCAGCTCAGAGCCTGGAGCCTGTTTCAGTCTGTGACTCTCTCTCTCTGACCCTCCCCTGCTCACGCTGTCTCTCTCTCTCTCCTAGAAATAAATAAAACATTAAAAAAAGAAAGAAAGAAATCCTCCAAGAGTCTTGGGAATTTCCAATTGAACAGAATGTTGGCAGTAACGATTGGGCATACTAGGACAATCACCTGCTTCCCTTTAGGTCTCTGATATATGAGTGTACTTGGATGAGGGCGAAGACATTCACTATCCTGTACTGTGCAGCACAGCTCATCCCCTTGGCATAAGCATTGGTTTGGACAACACTGTTTATCACACGTGCGAGCCTGGGAGCTTTTTCTCTTCCGAACTAAACAATGATTACAAGTGTTTCAAAAAACGTTCTTCCCGCAAGATCTGTTTTCATACCAAATTACTCAAGCCAGGTCCTCTTCCTCTCTGCTTTCTCGGCTTGCAACGCCCCTCCCACTCTTCTCAAAACTGGAGAACTCTTACTCATCCTTCAAGATTCAGCTCAAATGTCACTCCCTGCTGGAGGCTTCCTCAACAGAGCAGGCAGAGCCGGTTACTCCCTCTCTGCTCCCGTAGCTCTCTGCGAGCAACCCGGCTTTTATCACAGCACAGTGGGTTTACCTTTTCGGGCGGACCTCGCCCCCACGCCGTGAGCTTGTAGCGCGGAGGCCGTGTCTCTTTGTCACTTCTCCCCCCAAACCCTGAGTGGATCGTCCAGCGTTTGGCACATGGTAGGCTCAGAGAAGTTGGGTGACTGAAACCCTTAGTAACTGGCGACCTTCTGACCACAGGAGCAACATGGGATCCGGGTTCCTCCCGACCTGGGATAGGCCGCCCAAGTGAAGGAGGAGTTTCAGCTGGCACCCGGTTCCCGCCAAGCCTGCTTTTAAAAACAAACAGCTGCGGAGACCGGGGTAAAGAGGGTGGGCCTCCCGACGACCGCCTTTCATGAACTCAGGTGGGTTAATTCCCGCCAGCTGAGCCCGCTAAGGCCATTTCGGAGTTTGCTCACTTAAGGGAAACGTTTTCCCAGAGGACTTGGGGTCCCAGAGCTCTTTCTCTAACTCTGGGCTGGAGACTCTGTCCGTTTTTTTCTAACGGTGACAGGAAGTCGAAGGAAAAACGTGGGATTCAGAGGTCAGGGGGTAGCTCTCCTCGCGGCCACTCAGGCGTGAGGATCGCCGAGGTTCCGGATCGATGTCTCTGACGGCCGGCGCCCGGCACTCTGTGACCGACCCCCTGGGCAGAACGCCCACCGCAGTCGGCCGCTCGCTCTTTCGCCTTCACCCTTTACGCCCCGCCCACTCCGCGGTGCTGAGCCGCCATTCTCGCGAGAACACCGTTGGCCTCGCCTCTTCGGACTCCGGGCTCTCGCGAGAAGAGGCTTAAGAGCCGGCCTGTAACCTGCCCCGGCGGCTCTGCTGGTCGCAGCCGCCTGAGTGGCCGCCGCCACAGACACCACCGGAGGGACCCAGTTGAGGAGGGAGCGGAGGTGTCGCTGGCCCCCGCCTTTGCCTGGGTCTTCCGTGGACACTCAAGAGGGACTTGCAGGTTCGAGGGTGACTGGACTCAGCTGGGGAACTCGGTGGGGGCGGCGCCGGAGGCTGGGCTTGGCTGGGCGAAAGAGGAAGGGGGCGGAGGGCGAATCCTGGCTTGAGCGCACGGCTGCTGTGGCGGAGGTCCGGGCGTCCCAGACCCTGCTGGGAGACGGTGGGTGGGGTTCTGGGCTCCGGCAGCTGGCCCCCGGTTCGGAGACGCAAGGATGGGACTTGGGTTTTCGGGGGTGCTGTTTTTGGGTTGGGAGTCCCGAGGCCTTTCCCCAGGGATGAAGGCGATACCCTCATCCTTCCTTCCCAGGGCTGAGTAACCCCGTGCCCCGCCCCTTTTTCTGTCACCACTGGGCTAATGCAGCGACATCCTTAGGAGGGCGCATCACAATAGGGGACTGAGTGGCAGGCAGTCTCACTTTGGGTGAAGAGGAGTGAGTCTCCAAAAATGTGCTGCGTGGTTTTTCTGCTATAACTATCACATGGTAAAGCTTTGTTTCCCCAAAACCTGCACAGAAAAGCTGCCTTTTTCCCCCTTCTTCAGGTGCAAGTCCCGTAACGGCCTTTTTCCTCGTTAATGGGGTGCTGGGACACGAGACATCATTTGTAATTTGTTAGTGTGGGGGCATTGTGGCCATCCCTGGGTCCCGTAGATTTGGTACAGTACTTGTCAGTATTTAGAGTCCATGATAAAAAGTCACTAGTCCACACTTGCTAAAGATAGAGCCTCACTTGCTTGTCTCTGCGCACTTAGCATGTAAAGATTATTTAACTTTTTTGTCTTTTAGAGTTTTCATGCTTTTTATTGAAGTTAACAATCTCAATGAAAAGGCACAGTATTTTGATTTTATTTGGACAGTTAGACACCCCCCCCCTCCCCCAGGCTTTGATCAGGGCCTTTTAGAGAGGGGATTGGAAATAAATTTTGAATGAAATAGACCATAGAGATTGGAATAAGAAGTCTAATGAGGAATATAAGGGCCAAAAAAAGTTTCTGTGCAGGAGAGCCCATCCAGGACTGAAGTCAAAGCCTTGAAAATAAGGACTGCAGGTGTCATTTCAATGTAAGTTGAAAAGCGGTAGAAGATACTTGGGGAAGAATTTGATTGATGGGTGTTAAGACCATTAAAAAGAGTGTGAGAATTACTTTTGAAGGGGTAAAGTGTTCTAAAAATTTCCCTAACATTTCTCAGAGTTTATGACCTATCTGCTATTGTTATACATCAAGAGTAAGTAAGGGAGATTCTGAAGCACGCAGCGTGATAAGAAACCATGGCATTAACATAGTGTTCAGTCAGGAATTCTTTCAGTAACTCAACAATGTTTTTGAGTTCTTTCACCTTTTTTTTCTCACTCCCCAAAAAGCTTTCAAATGGGCTCTTTACTTCTATGTCACCCTTCCACCAGTCTGAATTTTTTTGTTACATTTTTTAAAAACCTGATGAAAAATTATTTTAAATATTTTTTTAATGTTAATTTTTGAGAGAGAGAGTGAGCACAAGCAAGTGCAAGGGAGTGCAGGGAAGGGACAGAGGGAGAGGGAGACACAGAATCTGAAGCAAGCTCTGGGCTCTGAGCTGTCAGCACATAGCTGCATGTGGGGCTCGAACTCACAAACAGTGAGATCATGACCTGAGCTGAAAACTTTTTTATTAACTATTAAGTTGCAAACCAGCAAGATCTGCTTTGTGTGTGTGTGTGTGTGTGTGTGTGTGTGTGTGTGTTTTACATTGAGGTGACTTGGTAAAGTGTGAGACTGACCTGAAATATATGCACCTTTCATAGGAGTATTTTATGAATAGCAAACTCCTATGCCTTCAGATACTAGGTAGATGAAAGTGAGTAACTGCACTAGACAGTTTATGCTACATCTTAGAGGGATGTCCAGTTTCTGAGGTCTACCTGTTTAGTGCCATACAGGAGTGTGGGCCCAGTTTTCAGCCTACTTAATAGAACACAGGAAATACAGGTTTTTGCTTGTAGTCTCTTGATTGTTAGAAAATATTGACAACTAATAAAAACAATTAAAAATAATTTAATGTGGCCCAACCAAACTGAAGGCTGTCAGTAGTTGTATCCTGCCTTCCAGTTTTGGACCTCTGTTATAGGTCAGAATGAATACATTTTACAACTGAAAAAAAAGATTTAAAGCAAGTATGCCAATTCGTTTGGAATTTCAAACCTGCGAGCATTTGGGGAAAATGTCAGGTCTAATTGAAAACAGGTAAGTTTAGGGGCGCCAGGGTGGCTTAGTCGGTTAAGCGTCCGACTTTCGCTTAGGTCATGATCTCGCGGTTTGCGGGTTCGAGCCCCGCGTCGGGCTCTGTGCTGACTGCCAGCTCAGAGCCTGGAGCCTGTTTCAGTCTGTGACTCCCTCTCTCTCTGACCCTCCCCTGCTCATGCTGTCTCTCTCTCTCTCTCTCCTAGAAATAAATAAAACATAAAAAAAAAAAAAAAGAAAACAGGTAAGTTTAATAGCCAAATTAATAGCTTTAAGTACAGTAGAGCAAATGGAACTGGTACTTACTAACATTTTAACTATGGAGACAACTGAAGAAGTAACTTCTCAGTATTTATGTTTTAATGACTCAGGGTTCTTTTTGTTTTTGCTGTTTTTTTAAATATAATTTATTGTCCAGTTAGCTAACATACAGTGTATACAGTGTGCTCTTGGCTTCGGGAGTAGATTCCCATGATTCATCGCTTACATACAACACCCAGTGCTTGTCCCAACAAGTGCCCTCCTCAATGCCCATCACCCATTTCCCCCCATCCCTCCTGCATCAACCCTCAGTCTGTTCTCTGTATTTAAGAGTTTCTTATGGTTTGCCTCCCTTTGTATTTGAAACTATTTTTTTCACCTTTCCTGCCCCCATGGTCTTCTGTTAAGTTTCCCAAATTCCACATGAGTGAAAACATGCGATATCTGTCTTTCTCTGACCGACTTACTTCACTTAGCATAATACTCTTCAGTTCCATCGACGTTCCTGCAAATGGCAAGACTTCATTCTTTCTCTTCGCCAAGTAGTATTCCATTGTATTTATAAACCACATCATCTTTATCCATTCATCAGTCGATGGACATTTGTGCTCTTTCCGTATTTTGACTATTGTCGGTAGATTTGCTATAAACATTGGGGTACATGTTCCCCTGTGAATCAGCACTCCTGTATCCTTTGGATAAATTCTTAGTAGTGCTATTCCTGGGTTGTAGGGTAATTCTGTTTTTAATTTTTTGAGGAACCTCCACACTATTTTCCAGAGCGGCCGCACCAGTTTGCATTCCCACCAATAGTGCAAGAGAATTCCCATTTCTCCACATCCTTGTCAACATCTTTTGTTTCCTGAGTTGTTAATGTTAGCCACTCTGACTGGTGTGAGGTGGTATCTCAGAGTGGTTTTGATTTGTATTTCCTTGAAGATGAGTGACGGTGAGCATCTTTTCCTGTTTCGGTTGGCCATCTGGGTGTCTTGGAAAAGTGTCTATTCATGTTTTCTGCCCATTTCTGTACTGGATTGTTTTTCAGGTATTGAGTTTGTTAAGTTTTTTATATATTTTGAATACTAACCCTTTATCTGATCTTCCATTCCATTGGTTGCCTTTTAGTTTTATTGATTGTTTCCTTTGCAGTGCAGAAGCTTTTTATCTTGATTAGGTGCCAGTAGTTCATTTTTGCTTTTAATTCCCTTGCCTTTGGAGGCGTGTCGAGCAAGAAATTGTTGCAGCTGCGGTCAAAGAGGTGGTTGCCTGTTTTCTCCTTTAGGGTTTTGATGGTTTCTTGTCTCATATTTAGGTCTTTCTTTCATCCATTTTGAGTTTATTTTTGTGTATAGAGTGAGTGGTCCAGTTTCATTCTTCTGTATGTTCAGTTCTCCCAGCACCACTTGCTGAAGAGACTCTTTTTTCCATTGGATGTTCTTTCCTTCTTTGTCAGAGATTAGTTGGCCATACATTTGTGGGTCCAATTCTGGGTTCTCTATTCTATTTCATTGTTCTATATGTATGTTTTTGTGCCAGTACCATCCTGTCTTGATGATTACAGCTTTGCAGTACAGGCTGAAGTCTGGGATTGTAATGCCTCCTGCTTTGTTTTTTTTTTCAATATTACTTTTGTTATTTGGGGTCTTTTCTGGTTCCATACGAATTTTAGAATTGTTTGTTCTAGCTCTGTGAAGAATGCTGGTGCAATTTTGATTGGGATTGCATTGAATGTGTAGATTGCTTTGGTTAGAATTGACATTTTAACAGTATTCTTCCAATCCATGAGCATGGAATGTTTTTCCATTTCTTTGTGTTGTCTTCAACTTCTTTCTTAAGTTTTCTATAGTTTTCAGAATATAGATCTTTTATATCTTTGATTAGGTTTATTCCTAGGTACTTTATGGTTCTTGATACAATTGTAAATGGGATTGATTTCTTGATTTCTCTTTCTGTTGCTTCATTATTGGTGTATAGAAATGCAACCAATTTTATACATTGATATAATCCTGTACATTGATTTCATATCCTGTGACTTTGCTGAATTCATGTATCAGTTCTAGCTGATTTATGGTGGAGTCTTTCATGTTTTCTGTGTAGAGTATCATGTAATGACTCAGGGTTCTGAACAAAGCTGATTTATAGGTATCTTGTAAGGAAGTCGATTTATTGAGAGGTCCTTTATTGACTTGCAATTAATATATGAAGTTAAATTCAGGAGACCCTCTATAACTTATCTATGGTTTTGAATGTTTATTGGTTGCTCTGCCATCCCACTTTATCTTCCCAGTCATTGGCTTTTACTGGAAGCAGTATTGGTTCCTTGGATTCTGTTCCTGGCAAATGGGATGAGGAGAAGGTGCATAGTGATAGAAATGGGATGGGTAGAGTGTGATGTGAAGCAGGCATATATATTCCTCTTCTTTACACTGTACATTACAAAACTGATTTAACTAGTTTTTCTTGTAAGTATAGGTACTTTGATGAAACAGTGCTTTATACATTGTAGAGCTTGGGGATATTTGTAGAATTGAACCCTGTGGATTAAAGCACATTTACCCGTTAGTGTGAAATACTTTAATCACATAGGCTGATTAATATTTAGTTGGTCTGAAGGGAATGGAAGTTTAGAGGTCAGACCAAGAAAAAAAGTGGACCTTGGGTATATTGAAGGCAAGGTGGAGGGTCTTTGATGTGTGTAGTTGGTAAGAGAGGAGGCTATGTAAGGGAGAGAATTTTGAAAAGGAAGATAAAATGGGAAGTACCCTTTTGTCTACTGTGTAGTTTACAAAGTTATACTAAATTTACCATAACTAATACAAAGACTACAAAGAATATTGTTTTTTTATGAGGACTGCTTTGGTAGTTTGAAGACTTGATTTTCTACTTCTTATAGTTCAGTCTTCAGAGATCAGACTAGTCTACTATCTCTTCATCCAGTCCCTCCTCCTCTCTCTAGTATAGGAAGTGAGACAGGCTCTATATAATGTATTATGTTTGTGAGGTGTTACTGTTTGATAGTTTTAAAAACATTCTGAAGAATCTATTGTATATTTGTGGAGATTATGTTTGAATGAAGAGGGAAACATCATTTTCTCCTTCCTGTGTTTTTACCATGATTTGTAAGGTAGAAAGTTGTCTTTTGGAAGTAGCTTTCCCCCTTTTTTCTACCTCTTGAGATGTCTTCCCAAGAAAGCATTAGGTGAAGCTAGGAGAAGGGATTGAGTATGTTTTTGCTCAGTGCCTTTTGGTTCTGATTTTGGAGCTCCCAATTCTTAGGATGTACATTCTCTTCTTGGGTGTATGGTAGATTTATCTCAACAGGCTGGGCCCTAGGAGGGAAAAGGAAATGCAAAGCTAAAGATCTAAGTAAGTTTAATTTATGTTTGAAGTAATAGGAAGCTTTTTTGGCCACTGGTTTTAGCTGTATTTTTATCTTTGTCTGACTCCTGTATTTTGCTTCTTTGTTGGTTATGAACCCACAGTAAGGGGAGAAGAGGTAGTTACAGGTGTTTGTTAAGGGAGGAAGAACTATTTAATATTTTTTCTTCTTTTGGATGGAATGTTTATTAGGGTTCAAATTAA